ACAAGAAAAAAAAAAAAAAAACCGCCATCCCCACAGTGTTTCCTGCCTTTTCAAGGTGTGAGGGATCTGTGAAGGAGGCAGCTGACATCATCATCATCCACCCCAATTTGTGCCTAGCTCTGTAAGTAAACTGCAAGCCTTTAACACCTTATGAAAGCAAATGACTATGTGTGATGTCAAAAGTGTTGCTCATGGTGACAAACCCAAAGGGAATCATCACTCAACTCTACAGTTCCCCTCAGCTCTGCAGACCGTTTTAGCATCTGTAAGCTCATTGTTGTTGTTGTTATGGGTCATGGTCAAACACTTTTTCCAGCAGCAGGCGGCTGTTTTCAGGGTTGTTGTAAATTATATGGCAAATGGCTTCTCTATGACTCATTTGGCCTTCCTATAGGGCTATGTAAGAAGCGTATTTTTTGTTATTTTTAAAAACATCTTCGCTATTTTAAGCCATCACAGCATGAAAATAGTGAAATATCAGCTAGAGAGGCAGAGATTTGATCCAGAAGTGGCTGGAGACCGAACAGAGCTCAAAGGAGTGTGAATATTGGATCTCTATCATTTGTCAGGAAACATGTCTCCAAATGAACTCTAATGTCGCTCTGTATTTTCTGAACTTATAAACAGGCCACTTTATGTAAACAGGTTAGCCATATCAGTATCGTGTTTACAACTTGTTACACTGCTCCCAAGTGACCAAAAATGAAGGAAGGTTTATATCTGTGCCTCAGTGTAAGTTCAGACACTTCCCCCAGTCAGTTCTTTCCATCTTAGAGTTCTCTGGATGAACTGAATAGGTCCTTATGACAGTGTCTTCACTTCATACACCGACACAGAGGTAAAAAACAGCTTCCTGTCCTCTTCACACTGAACTCTGGGTGACCTACAGTAGCTAGCTCTTTGATTACAGGCCTTTTCGGAGAAATCAGCCATATTCTGTGTGTTTTAGCTGATGCTAGCTTTTCTGCTATCTTGCCTTTGCTTATCCTGGATCAAACAGATCCTCTCTATGTAGTTTCACAAGTCCCTCTGGTGTATTCAAATCTGGCAGACTGTTGCCCCAGACACTATCTTCATGCATGTGCAGTGCTGTTGCAACAAAATATATACAGTTGATAAGAATACTGATTATAATCATGATGATAATGGAGGCAGAGTTCCTCAAAGGATCATTATTCATTGTTAGACTTACCAGTCACCTGTCTGCCCTTCTGTCTTGCTCTCTTTAGCAGCAACAAAAGTCAAGTGTAAGCTGTGTCCGAAGTACTTAGAGAATTATCAAGCACCAGAAGAATGAATAGGTGTTGGTTGGCATAATGAATAACAAATTATGGTGGCATATAGAACAGAGGAGTGTCAAACTCCTGCAGTGACAGCTGGCAGGCTGCTCCAGCGCTCACACTGCTTCAGTGGAGCCATCACCGAGCCGTCTCTCACCACAGCACACAGACCTCATCCATCCTCTTAAAGTGGGAGCAGCTAGCATGGCTTAGTGACATACTGCCAGTTGGGTCTGCTAACACAGGTGGCAGGACCAGATCTACACTGAATAAAGTAGAGACAAACAGAAGGCTGCCAGACGTATTACAACATAGAGATAAATTTGTAGAGCTATGTGTCTGGACTGTGCTAGCTCCAGTCTGTTCATTCAGAGAAATGACAAAGAGTAGAACTGGACCCTACTGGATCATACCTTGCACAACGGTGGCTGTTCTGGAACTTTTTAAAAATGTGTTTTTGATGTTTTTCTTCCCTTCGTATCCCTGAAGGATAGCAGCGGTGGGCCTTTTCACATCAAAAAACAAGCCTCACTGATGTTCTTATGGAAACCTTTGCTTGGTTTTTGTGCTGCAGCTGCACTGCTTACTTTTGCATGATTCCCCTCCTCCCCCAGTGGTGTTAGCATGACAGAGCGATCTGTAGCTGAGTAGTCATCCAGGAGGAGATGTTCCTCCAGCTGTCGACTCGCTATGCTATTTTACCATACGCATATTAAATTCATAAAGCCTCTTACAGGCCAGGAGTCAGAGTTTTAGGCCAACACTGACACACACACACTCAAAAGTTCGTTTTTGATGTCTTACTCAATCATAATGTAGACAAGTGGAGCCTTGGCAGCTCATCCATCCAGCAGACCCTGGCTGATATCATGCTCATGTTATTGATGAAATCGTGTCTCTGAAAAAAGGGGCATGCTGCGTAACAGACAGCCTGTTACAAATTGACTCTGGTACTGTATGTGCTTAATGATATTAATGATATGCTAATCACTGATAAATTTTCCTCACACTACATCCCATGTGAGAGCAATACTTGGTAATATATATTTCATTGGTTTTAATTGACAGTTTTTGAATGACAGGACTTCCTCATCTCTGCTTGAGGCTTTAATAGCCTAACACACCAGAATCTCTGACCTAACTGTTGGTGATTGAGTTGCATTGTGGGTAATATAGGTTTCAGGTTTTGACACGGTAGAAGAACGTGTGGAATTAATTGCTTACCTTTTCCTCAAGCATCATTACTAAATCAGAACATTTTTTCCAGTACTGTGGCTTTAGCTCTACTTTGTGTCTAGTGCTAATTAGCACATTTTAGCAGACATGGTCAACATTCTACCCACTTAGCATCAGCAGGTATTAACTTAGCTTTCATCACTGTGAACATATTAGCATGACATCAGCTTTAGCTCAAGCATCACAGAGCTGATACCAAAGCTGAGGAGTTCTGTTTTCATTCATTTTGTTTAGTACTAAAAAAAGTATAAAAATTGCATACCCAGCACTAAGTATGAAAATTAATTCTGCTCTGATTGTTTTCTTTTATGTATGTGCAGGTCAAAAGCATCCAGGATGCCATTCGTGATAAGAAGCAGAGGTTTAACTTCATGGGAGAGGAAGTGAATCTTTGCTCCTCTGTTGGCATCTTCATCACAATGAATCCAGGCTATGCTGGCAGGACTGAGCTTCCTGAGAACCTCAAGGCTCTATTCAGGTGAGTGAAATTACAATCAAAATTAAACATGTTTCACAGCTCGGAGCCAGCATTTACTTTGCAGCCGTCTTTGACTTGTGATTTTTTTTTTTTTTCACAGAAAAATAAATGACAGTACATTTTAAAAAGTACTGTACATAACATTAAAAGAAACATTACAAGTCTACAGTACCATACCTTTTCATAAAAAATAATACTCCTTTTGAAGATATAATAAGTCAAATTGTAACTTATTGCCAATAAACCTATACAAATCCATAAAAAAAATAGGCAAAAAGGACAGAACTCTTCTTGAATGTTGCTGTGTTACTATTGCTCTCTTTTTGTTGTTAGAGTCAAGTTAGATTGCTTTTTTAGTCATGCTAGGCTCCACAGAGTCAGATTTTTGTTTTGTTTTTTTCCACCCTTTTCTGTGATGTAAAAGAGACTGTGGAGAGACAGACAAGAAAAACTACAAAAAGTAATGCGCACACATTTATTGTAGGACACTAATAGTCATACACTGAGGGACTGAACATCTGCCTGTGTGTTTGGGAGAGTGCGACACTTGTCAATAATCAGTCAGTCATAAGGACTAGTTGTACAGATAAAGTATCATCATAGATTAATACATCTGATTTAAAAGAGTCTTCCTCACAGAGGAACTTTTTAGTCTAAACATAATCCCCCTTTGACATATGTCATTAAAAATGTCCTGGAAAATTCTTTCTTGAAAGGAGTGACAACCCTGTTATGAGCACACCTGTATGCATTCTTTCTGTATTTCCACAGACCCTGTGCCATGGTGGTGCCAGACTATGAGCTGATCTGTGAAATCATGCTGGTGGCCGAGGGCTTCATTAACGCCCGTGTCCTCGCTAGGAAGTTTATCACACTCTACACACTGTGTAAAGAGCTGTTGTCCAAGCAGGTACTATTAGCTTTCTTCGTGTTACATATGGTTAGAAAGAGTCAGATCCATTTCTTCTTCAAAGATCAACAACTGACTCAATGTTCTTTTCATATTTGAGTTTATTGATAAAGGAATGAGTCAAAGGCACCACACAAGAGCTGACATAACCATTTGAGTGAAGCGGTACATGTATACAGGGAGTTTGGATGTTATTCCGGCTACGTTTTTAAATCCTTTTTTAGCTCTGTTCTGTTTTACGTTATGCCATTTAAAAAAAGCTATAAAATGACTCACAGTGCTAATAGTAACCATGGCGCTTCTCGACTTACTGCAGGTAGGTGAATTTATCAGTTCTTGATGAATTTCTCATATTCCTCAGCTCTATTTAAGTGTCATTGCAGACTACTTTCTTTTCATGGCTGCTTTATGAAGCTGTTGTTCCAGACTTGTTTGTGAGAGCTTTGTTGCAAGTTTTCCAACATTAGCAACTCAGTGGTACTGAGATCAAATGATAAAGAATAGCCTGCTTCTCTAAGCAAAATTCACAAGGGCTGAAAGTACAAACCAATGGGAAGTGCAGTTTCAGAGCTGTGTTCTCAAGGAAAGCAACTGGTTCATAATTGTGGATTTAATTTTACATAAGTTTTGCTGTATCAGCCTGTGCAGTATGTTTTTGCTGTCAGTGAGTAGGCACCAGTGCACGCTAAGAAAATACAATGAAATATATTTCATGCTTTTAAAACCTGCAGGGAGCTGAACTAATGTTCTAATAGGTTTGGGGCCTCCCAGCTTTGTGGTGGTATTTGTGGTCTAATGGTGGTTTGTATGACACAGTGGCATGTGTTTTCTGTTTTGGGCTGGCCCGCAATGCTGTGCTGTGAGTGGCGATCCTAACGTGTTATAAATGTTAAGCCTCTACTCACCTGCTTTGATTAGTGCAAAATACTGCAGGTGATTGACAGACAGGTGTTTTTTTTTTGAAGAGACTGTAATACTAACTGTAATATATTGATGCCAGTTAAGAAAAATATCACAAACTCATCATGTAGTACACATGAACCTTTTAAGGACCCCCACATTTAGTTGACTCGGCACTGTATAAGCTGCAAATGTCCTGGGACAGCAGACACTCACCACCCAGGAGGCTTGGCACATATACACTTTATTAAATACACCTGTACAACTGTATGCTTCCACCTTAACATCTGTGTTTATGAAGCTCAAAATGTTTCAGGGTTTGGTTAAATTGTCATTAATGTATAAACTCAATTATACGTTTATTAATGAGGTCATAGTTAAAGGTGGTGTTGTACTGGACTGCATTATATTCAGAGATGTTGGTAATATTCTGACCCTTTCGTGTATGTAGCTCGGGAAGAGTAAAATAAATAGATATGGATATGGATAAAGTTATGAGATATATTTATACATGTTTTTACTTTTACAGATTGAAATATTATTAAACAAGTCACTTAATGAAATACTAAGGGCAGTGAGCACATTTCTTCATATTTTGAGATGATGGAGAAAGTGTTTCTCCTCAGATTTCTGACAGCAGCTGGAAGAAATTATTAATTTTGTGAGTGATGGGTCTCAGTGGTAAACTTTAGATTTGCAGGTGGTGTACTTTTAAACCGTGCAAACTGCTGCAATGGCCTGTGAAGAGACCTGCGTATTTCCCTCAGTGTACTGATATTTCTCTGGCCTTTACCAAAGGACCACTATGACTGGGGCCTCCGAGCCATCAAGTCTGTCCTGGTGGTGGCTGGCTCTCTGAAGAGAGGTGACCCCGACAGAGTGGAGGACCAGGTACTGATGCGTGCCCTGAGAGACTTTAACATCCCTAAGATCGTGACCGACGACATGCCTGTGTTCATGGGGCTGATCGGAGACCTGTTTCCTGCCCTGGACGTCCCCAGGAAGAGAGACCTAGACTTTGAGAAGCATGTGAAGGAGTCCATTCTGGACTTGAAGTTACAGCCTGAGGATAATTTTGTACTCAAGGTAGAGTAAACATGATTCCAAATGACAGTCTTCGTGCTTGTGTGGTGGAGCTAATCAAATTCTGTTTTGATTACACCAAATAAAAAGTAAGTCTCACAAGTGTTGCTAAGCCAGGGATGAAACAAACACAATCACAAGTTGTCTGAGAAGCACAAGCCAAGTTCCCAAATGGGGGTTTCATCTTGAACAGTTTAGATGGATATTACAGTTATAGCACTTTCATTTTGATTTATCTTAGTTCTTTCCAAAAGCAACTTACCTCACATCATTATGTTCTGTTGGGAAATACACATTAGTGTCAAACCAGTCCACAGGATCTGGATAAATCTGGCAAATATTGTAGAAAGCCAGTGATGAGTGTTCAGGTGCCCAAGCTGCTGACCTAATTTTAGTCATTATATTACGTACAGATACACAGACGCACAATAGAAGGCATTATATGTCAGAGACAGATGAACGTAGGACCAAGGGAAATAAGTGCAATCTGCCTCAGGTCAAATAGACACGGCAACCACATAAAAACACTCCATCAGTGGAGCCTGGCACTGCACCATGCCACTTAACCCTGACATTGTGAGAGACAGAAATAAACAAAGAGGAAGTGAAACAGAACGAGAGAGGGTGAGAGAATGGCAGAGTGGTCAATAACAACCCCCCGCCCTCCAGAGTCTGAACTTTTACTCTCTTTGTTTGTGCAGCCAACCTTTTGATTTCAGACAACATGGGGGAGGGGTAAGGCAAGGTGAGCAAGACCACACACCATTAGCATTAGCCTGTGCTAGTATTAGCCCTCCCCACATCAAAGCAGTAATCAGCTGGGGCCTTTGTGAGTGTAAAGCTGCCTGCGCTTCAGCTGAATGGATGGGGAGTAGGCGCTGCAGGGAGCCTGGTTGAGAGCATGGATTGAGCTCGCCATCTGTATGTTAGTGTGGAAACAGGGAGGAAATCTCTCTTTCTCCCTTTTTTCTCTGTTAGTCACTCCATGGTGTCACCTCACACATGTGAACAACTTTTACGAGGAACCGCATGATATAACCCAAGGCCATGTGTTCAAGTGTAAACAAATGAAATTCTGAAAGGTTAAGGCACTGTAGTGAAATTATTGATGAGGGCAGGCGGGTTGGAGTGGGTGGAGAAAGGTGTCAGGAGTGTTGTGTGACAGAAGAGTGGCAGCAAGAATCAAAGGAAAGGTGTACAAGACAGTAGTGAGAGCAGCTATGCTGTATGGGTTAGAGACTGTAGCAGTGAGGAAAAGACAAGAGGCAGAGATGGAGGTAGCAGAGATGAGGATGTTGAGGTTCTCTTTAGGAGGGACCAGGATGGACAGGATTAGGAATGAGCACATCAGAGGGACAGCTCAGGTCGGCTGTTTTGGGGACAAGGTCAGAGAGGCCAGATTGAGATGGTTTGGGACATGAAGTTAACTGGGGTGAGAGTAGAGGATGCTGAGGATAGAGTTAGGTGGAAACAGATGATTCACTGTGGCGACCCCTAACGGGAACTGCCGAAAGAAGAAGAAGAGGAGGAAGAAGAAGAAGAAGAAGAAGAAGAAGAAGTGAAATTATTGACAATTCTTTTGCACGTGTATGCTTTTCAAAACAAATTTGAAACTGTCAGTGTCATAAGTGTTCTCTACATGATGCGAACAAAGTATTCTCTACCATTTTTATTGTCTGTGTGTTAGGTGGTGCAGCTGGAGGAGCTCCTGGCAGTGCGTCACTCTGTGTTTGTGATCGGGAATGCAGGCACTGGGAAGAGCCAGGTGATGAGATCTCTTCAAAGGACCTATCAGAACATGAAGCGCAGACCTGTGTGGGTGGATCTTAACCCAAAGGCTGTGACCAATGATGAGCTTTTTGGGATCATCAACCCGGCAACCAGAGAGTGGAAGGATGGTAGGGAGTCCCACAGAGACAGTGTTTGATTGAATAACACCTGATCTATGTCACCAAAATGTGAACTCACCTTCCTGCAGGCCTTTTCTCCAATATTATGCGTGAACTGGCCAACATCAGTCACAATGGGCCTAAGTGGATTGTTCTAGATGGAGACATTGACCCAATGTGGATTGAATCCCTCAACACAGTCATGGATGACAACAAGGTGTGAGCAAATTGAAAGTTGGCATTAAATGTTGTCTTCTGCTTAGTATCAAAATGAGCTTTCACTGTCTGCTGCTCACTAAATCAGCAGTCAGATGTGAACAGGAGAGTGTGGTTGACTCATCACTGGTGAAAGGAAGTAGTAAACTATTTGCCATGTGTAGAAGAGATAATGAATGACACAAAGAAAGTCACTTTCAGCTTTTCCCGTTTTTAGGGGTCACCACAGCAAATTGTCACACTGACGACTTGCATGTTGACATTTGGCACGTGTTTTACGCCGGATGCCCTTCCTGACGCAACCCTGATTCGATCTTGGGCCACAGCAGCGAGAGCGCTTCGTCTTAACCACTAGCCTACCAGGGACAGATAATGAATGACATACAGTGTGTAAATCTGCTCTCTCTTTCTGGTAGGTGCTGACTCTGGCCAGTAATGAGCGGATTCCTCTGAACCCCACCATGAGGCTTGTGTTTGAAATCAGCCACCTTCGCACTGCGACCCCTGCTACTGTATCCAGAGCAGGTAGTGCTTGCTTTCCACTCCTTTTTTCTTTCTTGTTTCTTTGTCTTATTACTTTGATTAATTGGAAATGAATGACAGGCCCTGTATCAAAACCTTGTTTCAAGACCTTAAAGCTGCACCGGTGAATATGTTTTTGCTAACAATAGATAATGTAACTGCACACAATGTGAAAGGTGTCATTTGTCATACACTCACAGAAAATTATAATAAATTAGGTAATAGCTGCCTTTGTAATGCAAAATGGAGTAAAGTAGAGTCACATTTTCAAATGATCTGAGAAGTAAAGTAAAGAAGCATTATGGTTCTGACAGCAAAGATGGGAATATCAGCAATAAAACCTTGGCTGCCTTTTAAAACTGCCACTGCCTGACAGTAACATTATTCTGATAGCAGATCTAAGGTTACCTTTTTGCTTGTCACTCAGGTAAGGCAGCAGAGGCACTGCAAATAAATGGAACCACTTCAGTAAAGCTGTCAGTCAAAGACAGGCGATTAATCATTATGCCATTTATTTAGCAAAATTGCCAACCATTCTCTGGTTCCACTTTTTCTTTTTTTGTTTCATTTTAATGTGCATATTAAATAATGCTTTTTGTTGGTGATGGTTGATCAGACAAAACCAGCAAAATTGAAGACATTACCTTGGGGTGTGATAAATTATAATGGGTTGTGATCACTATATTACTGTATATAAAGCAATAGGCCTATTGCAACATATCCCATAACATTCATAAATAACAGAATGAAATATTTTTAACACACCGCATTAAAACCAAATCACAACTCAGACAAAGTGATGTTTTGCATTTCATTTGTTCTTTAAAAATACATTTTTGACACCACAAAAGTACAGATAAAAAGGAAATACATATTACTCTGTATATTGTACTTTGTTTCATTTGTTTGTATTTAGGGTTTTGGGGAAGAGGGGAAGGGAAATAAACCAAAACAAGACAAAAACAGACAAACAAAAACATTAGAGCAAGAGCGAGACAGAACACCATCTTGGAGCTGCAGAGCACTATAGCAGGACAGTAGTATTATATGTTATATTTATGTTCAGTTATTATAAGTATTGTTTTATTATCACTAGTGTTACGCAGCACTGAGTCACACCCTGATCTGGGGAGTGCTGATCCACTGCATAATCCCCCCTAAACAGCTCCCAGACCCTAAGGAGAGAGCCTGTTGTGTGCAGTTGAGATAAGGGAGACAGTGACCCAGCCTTCCTCCTCCATGCTGTCTACTCCAGCCTGGAAGGCACAACAACAAATGTTTGCTCATGTGTGTATGTTCTAACATACAGCAGCTGTTCTTCTTTCCAGGTATCCTTTACATAAACCCAGCAGACCTCGGCTGGAACCCGCCAGTGTCCAGCTGGATTGACAGGAGGGAGGTCCAGTCAGAGAAGGCCAATCTGACCATACTGTTTGACAAATACCTCCCCTCTTGTCTAGATGGCCTCAAATCAAGGTGAAGCAGATCCTCAGAGGCTTTATATCTCCATGAAATGTCACATTGACATTCATGTCAAGTTGACGCAGGATGTTGAGGTCTGACATAACATGGGGAGGGACTGTTCTAAAGTGGGCGGGTTGGACCTGAACAAGCAGAGACTGACTCAGAAGAACTGGATGCTGTCTTGCATTCTATTGTAAAGGGCCGCTCGCCTCCTCCAACACCTTCATCACAACTGTTTTTGGAGCAAACAACAAAAACAGGAAACAGAGGAGGGAGCCTGCAAGGAGGAATACTTTGGAAAATGCTGTATTATAGCTTGAACATTTGTCAACTGGTTTCTAGGAAGTAAACATAATTGAACAAATGAAGCTATATACAGTCATGGCCGAAAATACTGGCACCCTGGTATTTTTGTCAGATAACACTCAGAAAATTGTTGCAATCACAAATTCTTTGGTATTCTCATGTTTATAGTTGTTTGCATTGGAACAACACAAAAAAAGAAAAAAAAAAGCCAAATCTGATCCACACAGAACTCCAAAAATGAACTGGACAAAATTATTGACACCCTCAACTTAATATTTGGTAGCACACCCTTTGGACAAAATAACTTAAATCAGTCACTTCCTGTAACCATCAGTGAGTTTCTTACACCTCTACTGGAGTTATGGACCACTCTTCTTTTGCCAGCTGCTCCAGGTCTCAGATTTGAAGGGTTCCTTCTCCCAGCTGATGTTCTGAGATCTCTCCACAGCTGCTCTATGGGATTTAGACCTGGACTCATTGCTGGCCACTTCACAACT